TTTCTTCCTCACACCAATAAATGTGCTCGTTTTGAAAGCTGGCTCTGACAGGTTCCGCTCTCAAGCTTCTTTCCCCCCCATTACTTTGGCCACACAACCCAACTCCTCAGTCTTTCAAAGTGCAATCCAGGAAGGGAGTCCCGGAACCATCACCCTCTCTCTGTGACAAACTGCCACAAGCACCTCTCAAGTCTTGCTATCTTCCTTCGATACCTACTTTACTATGGAAGCCTGGGAGTAACACAAGAAAACAGGAATCAGAAAAACGGGCAAACAAGTCTTTCTGAGACTATCTATTTCTAAAATGCACACATTTCTACTTCACTTGGTTTTCTCTTGGTTATTATGAAATCCGTAACTACTATTGACAGTGACCAATGAGATCATTTAGCGATCAATATGAATTTGATTAAAAAAAAAAACTTTACTTTTACACTTATGTAACAGAGGCAATGGTGTCATTAGAAAAGTTAACACCCATTTTAAGTAGCGATTAGACAATGTAGCAAAATGATTGTTAATAATTAATACTGATTCATGATTATTAATGCTGCAGTTGTTTCTTACCCGCTATTATAAAAATAAGTAACACAAAAAGCCGTTAAAACTTTAATAAGCCTTAAACACTGGGGCTTATTAAATAAAACACTTAAAATAGGTACCACAAGAATTGCCCACAGTTTTAATCCTGGCACTCAAGAGGCAGAGGCTGGGGGAGCACTGTGATTCAGGCCCAACCTGGTCTAACACAGCAAATTCCAGGCCATCCAGGGCCACACAGAATCAATCAGCAACAGAAAATTAATGCTGGCCTATGCGTAGACATTGAAATAGCAATGAAGAGAAACGCTAGTTTCGTATGACAATTAAAAGTGTTGTCCCCAAAAGGAGAGAAAAATGTTCCTATAGATAATACAATAAAAGGGAAGACTGTCGTCAAAATGTGGGTTTGGGGCCAGGCACAGTGGTAGAGGACTTGCGCAGCATGTGTGGAGCCCTAAGTCTGATTCTCCAGCATGGAGAGCTATAAAACAACCACCACCACCACCACCACCACCAACACACACACACACACACACACACACACACACACACACACACAAATACTGAACAATCAAAGAACAATAAGGCCACTAAATTTGGTTCTTGTGAACAATATAAAACAGATCATTAAAAACTAGCTGGTCTGAGGCCAGAGAGAAAGCTCAATGGTTACAAGTACTTGCTGCTCTTTCAGAGAACCTGAGTTCAGTTCCCAGCACCCAACTCATGGCTCACAGATTATCTATAGCTGTAATTCAAGGGGATCCAAGGACAGACAGATACACACACACACACACACACACACACACACACACACACACACACTGAAAAATAAAATAAATTCTTAAAAAAAAAAAAAAAAGGCTGCCCTGCCTGAGACTATAAATACCCAGTTAGTCAAAAGTAGTAGTGAACACTGAGCAAAACAAATGCCAATCTTGAAAACAGACATTTAATTTGGTTGATAATTAATACAAATCTCTACTTTAGGCACTATTTTCAGGGTTAAGTAAACAAAATGTAATATAACCCTGCTAAGAGGACATAATTAGAACAATGAATTTTATTATCTCTGCCTCCAAGCAGGTTCTACTAATGCTGTTGTTTATCCCAGCAAATGAAGAGCAGCCTGGGAACTGTCCCAGTTTCTCTGAGAGTTATCAGCTGAAGCTAATGTTTCCTGAGACAGAGGTCTGCTTTGTTGGGTACTTGAGCTGCCCAGTGCCCTTGCCACTTCCTCAAACACTGTTCAGTGAGCAGAGGGCAGCACAGAGACCGCCAGCTCTGAGATGTCACTAGAGTATCCTTAGAGAGCCCCCAGCTGGCAGCACTGTACTTCATTGAGGTCAAAACCACTGTGGCCTCCCCAGCAAAGGGAAAAGTGAATTCCAGCTTAAAGCCTAACAACAAAGAGTCGCTTGCTCTGGGAGCTTGCTCTGGCTCTTCCTGTCTTGTCTGTCTTCAAATACCCAAGTAGCGTGGGACCTTCGGCTTCCATTCTTGCATTCAACATGGGGCTCCCCCTTCTCCCCTAAAGCACTTTAGAACTGGCCAGATTATCAGGATAGTGGAGTATTCGCTGTCTGCTTCAATTCAGTACATATGAGAACACTAAGAAGCCACCACTCAGAAGGCTGACTGGTTCCCACGTCACACCTGTTGCTTACTGCACTATCAGGCGAGAAAACTCAAATACTAGAAAGCCCAGAGGGTATCATGGGGCAAACCCCATAACAGAGCTAACAAAAATGAAATAAAATACCCATCAAAATCAGACCAAGCTAAATATGGAATCAATTTGGTTTTTCCATTTTAACAACCACTACCAGGCCAGCAGGGTCTCATTGTGTAGCCCACCAACCCAAGTGCTGGCCTGGGTTCACTTCAACTTCTTAGACTCTGATTAAGTTTCTTAGCTCCTCCCACATCAGCTAAGTAGAACAAGAGTACATAAATATGGCATCTTCTACCTGATGCCACATATGCATACCAAGTTTTCAGTCTTGGTCTGCACTTCCTACCACTTGCTTCATGATAAAAGGAAGCCCAGTTATCAAAAGTTCGTGCAATTTGCAATAGCAATGCTGTTTTGTTAAGGAAGGCAAACCTTAAAAAGGTTTTCACCAAAGTACTAGATGCAGATTGTGACCTAACACGTGTTTAACCTGATCATCAGAGAGAGAGCAAATTCTCGGAGTGCTTCAAATCTCCACTTATAAAATGACCTTGGGCTGAGTGTGTCAACAGCAAAGCATGTGTTAAACGTCAGTTCAGGTCACCAACAATAAAGCCCAAACTATGAAGTCTCCAGAAGGAAATAGTGCAGGATGTCTACAGGCCAAGAATGGTATCCGAAGAAAGCAACAAATTCAGGATAAGAAAATATGCTTCCTAAGACACAAAATTAGTATCTGTGAATTAAAAAAAAAAAAAAGAGCATATTAAAAACTTTGTCAGGGCTGGAGAGATGGCTCAGTGGTTAAGAGCACTGCCTGCTCTTCCAAAGGACCCAGGTTCAATTCCCAGCACCCATATGGCAGCTCACAACTGTCTATAATGTCAATTCCAAGGGATGACACCTTCACATTTTCACATTAATGCACATAAAATAAAATTAAATAAAAACTGTGTCATTAAGCCACACGGCATACACGGTACGAGACAGCTGGAAGAGATGGATATGAACCTCAATCTCAAAAGATGAGAATGTGTATCCACAAAGTTTAAGGAACCCACAACTCAGTGGTGCAATGCCCATTGTTCCATGTGCTGGGGGGGGGGGAGTAGAGAACAGGGGACAGAAGGGATGCTGGCCACTCTCTCCTGTGAAGAACGAAGGCCTGGAGACTCAACTAAGTGATGACAGCAAGGAAAGCGGCTTAGACTTGGCACAGTCTGAGCTGTCTTTCAAGACATGCACTTTGCAGAGTGCTAGTCAGTCTCCACTGAAAAGAAACTCATGAAGATGGCAGTTCTGACAGCTTTTTAGGCCACTTTCGAAAGAACTTCTGCTCAACCGTAATGCCAGAGCAATGATTCTTATTCAAATTTACTCAATTCTCTAAACCAAGAAATTTAAGGTTGTTTGGATGGAAGATAGATTTTACTTTAAAAACTAGATTTATAACACATCTTGGGCATTCTGCCTTGTCTAAAAATAACTCTTCTACAATAATAGGCTAACACTGTAAGGATACAAAGTAATAGAAAATGTCAAAGTTGCCAATAATTATTAAAGTTGTTCGGCCAGAATTCCTTAGCTGTGATTTTACATAATTACACATTTGGTTCTGTCTAGACATGCTATTGAGTTGGATTCATAACACATACCACCCTACCCCAGTGCTGGCAGACCAGGGTATAATACAGGGCTGTCCAGCGCAGTTCTCAGGACAGGAGACTGAAGAGAGCTGAATCTTAACATATAGACGCCAACGACTCACAATGAAATGGAGATATGTCCCACCCAGAGCCACATTATACACTGTGGCAAGCGCTCGACCTCTAAACCACTGACCCACTCTGCACTGTGCCATACCTATTGCAAGTTGTTCCTGATGAACCTCGCAGTGTGTCCCAACATCCTTACCCCTCCTGCATCCCAGAGTCTGTGAGACTGTGCAGAGCCTGACCGGCTATTTCACAGATCAGTAGAAGGATCTAAAACTGTCTCGGGGGACTGCTGGAAGCTGTTTAGACTGAGCTGCCACTTGGAAAATGATACCACATGTTAAATAAAATAATTTCCTTTCTTCTCTTAAGCAGTACAAAGAGAAAAGAAGCACATGATTTCTAAGCACTGACACAATAGTAAATGGAGAAGTTTTGATCAGAGTAGCTAAGATAGGCAATGCTACAAACAGAAAGGACTTGTGACAAGCAAAATTATTTTAGAATAAAACTGGAGTGGCATCCAGCTGCTTTATAGAAGAGGAGGGGCAACATTAATACTGGGCAGGACAGGGTGCAACAAGAAAAACAACAGAACAAAGTAGTTAAGGCATACTAAAGGCAAACAGATGTGAGTTCAAATCCTGGCTCTGTACCACGTCTGCTGTGTGAGTTGCAGAAATCATCTGCCTTCTTACCAATCAACATCCACAGGAGACGTGCTTAGTAAAGTCCAGGCACACGTCAAGTGTTAATGTCCACTGTGGCTATGACTGTCAGCAGGAAATTTCTCAATAAGGGTTTGGAATTATCCAAATGGATAATATACAAGAAGCAAATATAATAACAAGCATCATACCAATTAGGAGTTCAATAACATGGGAATATAAAGTTCTTCCTCTTCCTCTCCAAGTATTCTGAGGAACGAGAAAAAAACAGAAGAACCCCCTGCCATCGACTATTGCTGCCAACCCCTCACTTGATCAAATAAGGGCACAGGCAAACACAGCAAAGATCAAAGTAAACAACCCCAGGCAAAGGTCCAGAGGCACAGCAGCCCCGCCTACCTGGAATTCACCTTCTTGAAGTTTCACTACAGCAGTTTTCTGGGCAGCCTGCAACCATCTGAAAAGTACCTGTACAGGATAAAAACATGGATTTAGCACGGGGCTGAGAACGAGAGGGCAGTCAGTCTCACTGTCTGAACAGGAACCAGGAGGCATCCAGCAAGTTCTCTGTGAGTTTTGTCAAACGTTGACACGAACAAAGGTGATTCCTGCAAGAGCCTCCAGGACAATGTGAAGCAGGTACCCTCAAGGCATGCCTAGTCTCAGCACAGGATTCCAAACCTTCACCGGAAAAGGCAGATCAAGGCTGACTAGCCAGGGTGACACCAAGGAGAAGCACCAATGTGCTGTGTCGAGACTCAATCTTCAACACAGTGCTGGCAGGCCATTTTGTTACTGGTGGGAAAGTTTCTTCCTGAACTCTACTGCCATCACTGTGCTCTTTGGGTGATCTGCATATAAGACAAAACGCCTTATAGACTTTGCTCCAACCAGACGTATTTTCTTCTTCTTCTTCTTTTTTTTCCCCACCAAAAGACAGGGCTTCACAATGAAATCCTGGCTGGCGTTGAGCTCAATTCACAGGCCAGGCTGGCCTTGAACTTGATCTGCCTCCTTCTGCCTCCCAAGTGCTGGGATCAAAGGCATCCACCACCAAGTTAAGTGTCTTTTTACCTATGCAGGGCAGCTCTAAGCCCATCTTCTCTGAGATGAGTCCTTGGTGAAGGGTGGACAGAGACACTCCTACAGGAAAGCTGACTTATAACACCTACGGGAGCTTCTGATAAAAACACCCACACACCAAACACACTGGCATCAACCACTTCCAGACTGCCGGTGAACTGATAGGATCAGCAGGATCTTCCGTCCCCAAAGTTCTCCACATTCCCTCCTATATAGTCCCCAAGACCCCAAGCCGCATGCACACTGTCTCACTTCAGAGGAGTGACGAGGGTCTTTCAGTTGTTCTGCTTCTGCCGATGCCTGCCCTCTTCCTTTTATCTCTACATCACTTCCATCAATGTAATCCCATCTTTGTGGTACATTATGTACCCTGGGTCGGGTCCATTCTTCCTCTAAGTTGTATCAAGGTCATCCTGTATGCATCTCCGTAACACCCACGGCTCTGTGAGTGACTCTAAGATGGCCCTCTAGAGGTTACAGAGTTCGAGATACTGCTGCATGCCTGCTGTAGGCTAAATGGTCTGAGAAACTGGACCCCTTGTCACCACAACTGTAGCAGAAACTGGCTGGCCAATATATCTTAGACTGAAAAGGGGAAATGGTGACTTCAGCTCCAGGGAGTTCAGAAGTGAATTACAGGTAGAATTTTGCTCCAGGTTCCATTAATCTTCCTAAAAGAAAAGCCAAGCCCTTTAACATGTTCACAGAGAAAACAAGAGCCAGGTTTGCTGTGCATCCTCATTGCACTAGAGCTAGAACCTGGGAAGGGTCTCAGTTTTCTTCTCCATCCTTCCATACAATCTGTGCACAACTGAACCTAAAATCAAAACACCAGTAGTTCACTGTCCCTATGACATCAGCCACAGGAAAGACACCACTGTTCTGCACCAACCAGCACTCTGACACCAACAAACATCCAGATGAACATCTACCTAAGGCCTCAGCCTAAGAGGGAAGCAGCTGCCTTGACATGGCCTTTCTTTATCAATCACATTTAAAGATAGGCTATTAAGAAAGGCCTTGGCATCCAGTCCTGATGAGACCTGACAGGCTAGGGTCAGATGGAAGGGGAGGAGGACCTCCCCCATCAGTGGACTTGGGTAGGGGCATGGGGGCAAAGGAGGGAGGGAGGGCAGGATTGGGAGGGGACGAGGAAGGGGAAGACGGCTGGGATACAAAGAGAATAAATTGTAATAAATTGAAAAAATTAAATAAAATAAGAAAGGCCTTGGCTACTGTTCAATGGAAATATCACTACCTAAAGCAAAAATACCTTCAATTTTCCCAAAGCAAGTCTCTCAACCCATTTTCGATTTGAAATCCCAACGATGACAATCCGTGCTGTGCTTGTTCTAAGGGTCTGAGGGCATTTGGAACACAGGGTTCCAGTGGCACAGCAAGGCACTTGAAAGCAGTCAGTGCCTCAAAGCACAGCCCCAAGGCTTTGTGGCTCAGGTGTGCCAGAAAGCCCAGCAGGTCAGAAGTAGGAGTCACAGGCTAAGCAGCTGACCTGATTAGCCAGGCACTAACCACAGAGAAGGTAGCTGATATCAAACCCCAAGCCCCAGGAGAAGACTATATTCAACACAGACCTGCACAACACAAGCCCACACCCAGCCTGGGCTTCAACCGGCAGCACAGTCACTTCCTACAATGAGCTCACTGAGTAACAATGAGCAATTACACACAGAAATTATACCTAGACTGTGCTAGAATCATAATCACTGGGAACTGAAGTTCCCAGCAAAAGCCACACCTATGCTAAAGATTCTACAAGGCTGAGTGACTGTTTTGAACTGACTGGAGGGAGTTGGAATGTTGTAGAACCAGAACCAAATTTTCTTGGACTATTTTTGGTGCTCTTAACAATCATTCACTCTATCTTACAAAACGTCCTTTTAACTTTTAGAAGGGACCAACAGACTGCTGGCTCCTACAAACACAAAGCTGAGGATCCACCAAGCAGCATCTGAGGCCTATAGTAAAACTGTCCTGCTTGGTGGGACACACCCACCTCATGTTCACCAGTGCATACGAAGAGGTACCTGCATTTATGGCTTTTGTTCCGTGGCCCCCATGAACTTTATGAGAACACGCTGTTCAGGGTGACCTAGATCCACATCCTGATCGCGGCCACTCAGATTTAGCATTTTTCTCTTTGATGAGAGCTGTGCTTTATGCAGACCCCACATGTCAGCAGCTAGAAGCTTAGCATGTGCTTGGAATTTTACATAAGGATTTCATGTAAGAGTCTCAATTACCCTTTGATACACTACAAATCTCCAAGAAATCACCACCCTCTCTAACAGAACAGTATCACACCCACAGGATCAGCATCAGGCTGACATATTGAGTTCTTAGAAGTCTGAGTGGTCCACAGCAACTGAGTGTGACAGGTACTGTTACCACAACCCCTGTGGTGGCTGGCGTTGTTACTGCTGAATGACAACAACAAAGGAACAAAGTAAAAGGCACAAAAGGGAAGGAAGGCAGCTGCGATATATTACAGAGCATTACACACTAACTGCCCTATGTCACTTCATCCATAAGCAGAGAACCAAATCTGCTCACCACCTCGTTAACATGGGTTCTACATGCTACAACAAACCACCTTAGTTGTGGAACACTGTATGTCACTCATTGTCACTACACGGAGGGACATCACAAACCTGTGGGACTCTGCTGAACAAGGTTGAAGTCAGTTGTCTCTACGGCCATTTATTTGTGTTCGGTCTATGATGGCAGACTCCCTTTTCTCAGCGGAGTTCTGAAAGTCTCCCCTGATTTGGGTGATTCCAGGTCTTATAAGGAGGTCACATAACCCTCAAGGCAGATTACAGGCCAGACCCTTCCCACAAGGAAACTGTTCTATCAAGCACCTAGGAATTCCTAGAAAGGTCGCACCCTGCTAAGGACCAGTGACCTTCAATTGTACTTGGAGATCCCATCTTCCCTCACCCCCACAGAACAATGAAGTGCTGTATTTTCCTTCTGGTGATAAGACCATTTAAATATCCCTGACTCCCTGACCCCGGAGAATCAAACACTTTCACCCTCAAAATCCCCCCCTCTGACAAGGATTTATATTGCCCTTGATTTCACATAAATAAAGATATGCAGGTTTACACTTTCTCACTTCAAGACTGTCTGAGATTCCTTATTTATCCTCTGCAGAGTTGGGTCCCATTGGGCCTCACCAGGCCTGTGTCTTGGCTGCAAGCCGACCAGGCACAGGCTTTGGCCCATCTCTGCCCTGCTCAGCACAGCAGCTTGACAAAGAGCTGTAACATTTTGGTATCGCAAAAGGCTTTGGAATGCCAGAGCTTCCACTGCCACCATCAATCTTCGGCTAAAGAGCTAAACAGTAACACTCTGGAAAGCGTTTTCCGTATCCCAGATTAGTGCACTTGGGCCTCACCCTAAGGTACTCTAGCTTCCCCTGAGAGAAATGGAACCCTGTTCTCCATCTGAAAGCAAATTCCAGGCCCCGCCAAATGGAGACAGACACAAACCCAGGGAAAAAGTGAACTTATAATAATGAACCATATGTCCAGTGACTTTGGATTAAAAAAAAAAATACCCTCATGACACATTAACAAAGAAACCAGCAGTACATGCAAAAAAAAAAAAAAAAAAAAAAAAAAATTCTCATAGCTGCTAAGAAAGAGTGAAACCATGGAAAACTATTTCATAGTTACACCAAACACCACAGCTGGGCTGCCATGCTGGCAGAACTCATCAGAAGCGTGAGCAAAGCACTTGCTACCATCTTTAAACGCAGCCCAAATCCGGCTATAAACACCAATGACATCTGCACTCCACTCCCCAGAGTAGTCTGGAGGCAAAGCATAGCAGACACCATTCTGAACCAGTGTCTGAGCATTTGAATAACATGACTTGAATGTGCTCTTTCCTGTGGCATCCTTTTATTGCAAGACCAACACAGAGGTTAACGAAAGGTACCCTTTCCGTGAGACCTTTACAACGCCAAGTTTCTGCTCAGTGTTGTTAGATCACAGACAACCAACCACTGTCAAGTGAGATGCTCTGAGCTGAAGCCATCATCCCTCTTCTTCTGCAGTCTACTTAATTCACTAAACGCCAGTGTGCTCTCAAAGATGGTTTTTCAAAGGAAAGAAGAAAAAGGCAGTAAGTTCTATCTGTAGCAAATCAAGAAGGGATATGAAGAAGCTGAAGCCATCCCAATGGTCTGACCCAGTAACTCTTATTTTAGGTAATTATCCTAAGAAAATAATCAATAATCAATTTCTATTAAATGCACACGCAAAATAAAAACATAGACGCTCCATCTACAACACATGAGACACATTAGTCTAAGACAAAGTATAGTATTACAAAGTAACTTAAAATGTTGTTCCAAAATT